CAGGAGAGGTCTGCGGCACCATGTGGTCACCTCCAGGGCAGGTGGGAATCGAACTCATGCGTAAGTGGCTTAAGCTTCTTGGTGCTGTGCTTTAACCCGTTGCGCCACCAGGGAGGGCATCCACACTTTTTTTTTTAAGATTTATTTATTTATGCATACAGGAACTGGGGTACAGGCCAGAGGTGCAGGGGTGGGAGAGTGGGTTGAGCAGATTTGCCAGGGACAGTGTAGGGAGCAGAACAGGCAGATCAACTAAAAAACTGCTGGGAGAGCAGCAGTTTGCTGTGCTATGTGGGTCACCTCCCTGGCTGGGGATCGAGCTCGTGGCTGTGGACAGCTTCATAGTGCTGCGCTTTAACCAGTTGTATGACCAGGGAGGGCCCTCCACAACTTTTGTCTTCTTTTTGGCCACCATTTTCCTGCTTTAGGCGTGGGATGGTCCCCAAGAAAGAGCTGCTGCCTAGATGTCAGGGAGAGAGAAAGCTGCTTGGTATATTCTCTTGCCTATTCTTACTGCTTTTTAACCATTTGAAATTAAGTTATAGCCATCGCACCCCACTTGCTACTACATCTTCAAGTATTTCCTAAGACCAAAGACATTCTTTAACTTAAGTACAATAGGTCACTAAAATGAAGGAATTAACATTGATTCAGTATTATTTAATGAATAAAGTATATATTTCAGTTTTGCCACTGACTGATGCTTTCCATAAAGACATTTCAATTTATTTTCCAGTCCAAGATCAAGCACTGAATCCAGTTTTTAAAATGTGATCTGTAGGTGTTTTTAATCTAGAATCTTTTCTTCACCTGCTTTGATCTTTCATAATTGACATTTTTTAAATATCTTTATTAAGATATAATTCATATGCCATAATTTATCCACTTCAAGTGTATAATTTTGAGGTTATTACATTATAAACTTTTTTCAAAACTTATAATTGACATTTTTTAAAGAAATAAATAATAGTTTATTTTTACATCATTTTGTACATTTTTCCATCTCAGTTGTAATCTCCATGGGATTCCCATCACCAAATCACTGTATGCCATCACCATAGTCCAGTGTACTTCCCTCCCCCCACTGTTTTTGATCCCATTCCCCACTCCACCCCCATAAAATGTCTCTGCTATATAGCTGTTCATTATTATTATTTTCTTGCTGGTCCATTATACTCCTGCTAAGAGTGAAACCATCCAGTATTTTTCCTTCTCTTTCTGGCTTATCTCACTAAGCATGATTTTTTCCAGTTCCATCCAAGTTGCTGCAAAAGACATGTGTTTCTCTTTTTTGGTTGCTGAGTAATATTCCATTGTGTATATGTACCACATTTATTTAATCCAGTCATCCACTTTTGGGCATTTGGGTTGTTTCCATGTCTTTCCAACTATGAATAAAGCAGCAGTAAACATGGGGGTGCAAGTATCTTTTTGAATCAGTGTTTTTGTGTCCTTTGGGTAGATACCTAGGAGTGGGATTGCTAGGTCGTAGGGAAACTCCATGTTTAGCAGTTTGAGGAACCTCCAAACAGTTTTCCATAGTGGTTGTACTAGTTTGCATTCCCACCAGCAGTTCAGGAGAGTTCCTTTTTCTCCACATCCTTGCCAACATCCTTTTTAGAGAAGTGTCTTTTTAGTTCTGCCCATTTTTTGATGGGGTTGTGTATTTTTGTTGAGTTTCATCAGTTCTTTGTATATCTTTGTGATCAATCCTTTATTGCTAGTTTTGTGTGAGAAATTTTTTTCCCAATCAGTGGGATGTCTGTTTATCTTTTGTAATGTCTCTTTCGCTGTACAGAAGTTATTTAACTTGATGTAGTCCCACTACCTATCCTTGCCTTCACTATTGTTGCATTGGGTGCTGTATCTTCAGAGATGCAGTAACATCTGTGTGTGTCGTGTAGTGTTTTGACCATCTTTGCTTCCAGGTATTTTATGGTTTCCGTTCTTATGTCAAGGTCTTTAATCCACCTCAAGTTGATTTTTGTGTATGGTGCAAGGTATTGATCTAGTTTCGTATAACTGACATTTTTGAGACTTAATTAAAGCTGGTAATTTTGCAGAATGTCTCTCATATTGAATTTATCTGTTGCTTCCTTACCCATCATGGCTTGTATTTTGGACAGGAAGTGATGCCTCTCAGTATATCACATCAGAACATAGTAGGGGTCATCTTGTTCTGTTATTGGTAACTTGATCAAATGTATTGGTAACTTGATGATGTGGTTAAGACGGTATCTGACAAGTTCCTTTATTGTAAAGTTAATATTTCATTAAAGTTAATAAGTACTTGAGCCCTCTCTGGTGGTGCAAAGAGTTAAAGCATGGCACTATGAAGCTATCTGCAGCCACTGCAGTTTGAATTCTATCTCTGGCTAGGATGCTGACCCACATGGCGCAGCAGATCTTTCCTGTTTCATCCCACTGAGCAGTGTATTTCAGTAGATCTGCCTGTTCTGTCCCCACTCTGTCTCTGGAGAATACTCTCACCTTACCACCACCCTCTGGCCTGTGCCCCAGTTCTTATATGCATAAATAAATAAATCTTTAAAAAACTTAATAACTGGGCCCTCCCTGGTGGCGCAGCGGGTTAAAGCGCAGCACTGAGAAACTAAAGCCACTTCCGCATGAGTT